GGCGAGGAAAGAGTTGATCTTTAGTGGCGTGTCAGAGGAGAAGTGTGCTGACCTGCTCGTTCATGATGGCGGAGAGCTCGGTCAGCATGTCTTTATGGTGAGCTTTCATCTCCTCCTGATACTCCAGCTGATCTTCTTTTATGAGACGCTCATTCACCTTCAAGGCCTGACCACACGCGTCTGCAAACTGCCTGCAGGACCACAAGCAACAAACCAGGATTGCAGTAAATATTCATTTAGGCTTTCGGTGCAATTAAAACATCATGAAGAATTGTTGTAGCAACCTGCGTGTATTTGCTTCAAGAGTGCAATCGTACATTAGCGTTGGGTTTCATTTCCTTTTATATTCATTCAGTCTGAGAGCTGAAACCTACGCAACTAAGATTATTTAATAAACTATTCTTTAATGATAATAAGCTAGTTTTTTTTATCATCTTTACTTTGTCTCCTCCCTCCGCTCTTCCCCGTTTGTCCTCCGTCTGCCGATACAGTTACTGCTTGATACAGTTTTAGGTAATAAACAAAATGCAGTAAAACACTGATTTTGGGTACCAGACAGAACGGAGATTTTCTGACAGGATTTAGAAATTATGGAAGTTTTTATAAGAAATGTTCAGCTTTAAAACTTGCCAAACAAACCAAACTTACATTACATGGATGTGCTCTCCACATATGGCTTTAAAATCACACCATATATAAAATACTCAGCATGAGGAAAAGTTCATTTTGTTTTCATAAAACCACAATGATGGGAGCAATGAATGAAGACGTACCTGAAGATCTCTTTCAGGAGTTTGACTTGGTTGTCGGGGTATTTCTTGGCGTTCTTCTCCTCGAGGAAGGCTCGGGCGTAGGCCATGGGCCCAGCATTTACCTAAAACAACACACAAATTCATGAAATACTTTCCTATTCCACAGTCTTAGAATAGCTAATGCTAGTGCTACCAGTATTATGGAAATGTAATATACCGTATGACATATATTGCTCTATATCAAGAGTGAATCTACTATATATGTTACCTATAAGGCAGTGTATGATATGCACATTCTCTGAGTAGATGAAGATATACGTTTATAACATGTATAAAATACCCATAGCAAAGTTATATATGTATATATGTTAATAATATGATTTTTTATATGGTATTATATGTAGCAATTTTATTTATATTTGCAACTTTATTAAGACAACATATATACAAAAAATCTTTATGTTCATATATATATATGTTTATGTAATATAGTTTTAAATGCATGTCTATTTTTTATATTTACTTGTATAATATCAAGGCAGGTTTTAGGATGGATATACATGCACATGACATATATGTAGGGATGCAAAAAGGTGGATAATTTCCAGTAAATTTCGGAAATATTCCAGAAATTTTGGAGACTTTCCAGGATTTTTGGAAAGTTTCCGGAAAATTACCGGAAATTTTCCACCCCTTTGCAACCCTACGACCAAAAATGTATTACACATACATAAACATACATATCTGTATAGACTAAATATATGTTAATATATGAAATTGTTCTAATTTCTAATAGGTTTCA